AACCATAATCCTAACCATTGAACAAAAAACCCAAATGTTAACCCTTAGCCTAACTCAAATGCTAACCCCTAGCTCTATCCCAACTCTACCACTAATCTTAACCCAGTCCTAAACCTAAACTTAGATTTAAACCTATTTCTTTTGTTTGTTTTTCAGTTTTCTTTTTTTTTGTTTTTTTGTTTTTGGTTTTGTTTTTTGTTTTTCGAGACAGGGTTTCTCTGTGTAGCTTTGGAGCCTATCCTGGGCACTTGCTCTGTAATCCAGGCTGGTCTTAAACTGACAGAGATCTGCCTGCCTCTGCCTCCCTAGTACTGGGACTAAAGGCATGCGCCACCACACCTGGCTTAAACCTATTTCTTGATCTAAACTCCTAATTCTAAATCTCTAATGCTAACACTAACCCTCTAACCATAACTGTCTACAATTATATAACACTAACTCTACTCCCACCCTTTTGTCTAACCTGGTAATACTAATCCTAACACCATAACCCTAACCCTAATCCTAACAGTAATCCTAACCCTGAGCATTTAACTCTAACCCCTAACATTACATATGACAAAGATAGGAAATACATGCTTATGATCTTATAATATATACCTACATATGATCAAGCTGAAAAAATACAAGTATATAAACATGCATATATTATACACCAATATATTACAGATCTAGGAAATGCATGTATGTGAACCTACACATATAAGCCAACCCATGACAGAGTTGGAAAATGTGTGTCAACATGGACATACACATCTACATGCATTTATACCTATATCATGCCTGGTCTTTGAAAAATATGTGTGTGGACAAGAACATCTTCATCTATGTATGACAGAACTAGGAAATACAAGTGTGTGAATATGCATATAAACACATAATATAAAAGTTAGGAAAGGCAACCAGGTGTTGGTGGCTCATGCCTTTATTCCCAGTACTTGGGAGGCAGAGGCAGGAGATCTCTGTGAGTTCAAGGCCAGCCTGGTCTACAGATTGAATTCCAGGACAGGCTTCACAGAGAACCCCTGTCTCAGAAAAAAAAAAGATAGTAAAGCATATGTGTGAATTTATGTGTTCGTGTTCACACATGAGCTTCTTAGTTTTCTCATATATAGCAAATATGGTCATGTTTCTATACATGTATGTTTTAATTCTGTCATATGTAGGTATAAATATAAGTTTGCACACATGTATTCCCCTAGCTCTGTTATATGTAGGTGTATATGTTCACACAAATGTATTTCCTTTTTCTTTCGTATGTAGAGTATATGGCCAGTGTCATGGAACAAACTTTTTGTACACAGTGTGAAGATGTGTCTCTGTGATTGGTTTAACAGAGAGCTGGATGGCCAATAGCTAGGCAGGAGAGAATAGGCAGGACTTCTGGGGAGAGAGAGGAACTTGGGATGAATCTAGGGTTGTGGATTTCACCAGCAAGACAAGGAGGAAGTCAGACATGCGTTATGGAGGAGAGGTAATGAGGCAGGTGGCAAAACTTACGATTAATAGAAACAAAATAATTTAAGTTATAAGAGCTAGTTTGAAACAAGCTTAAGCTAAGGTCAAACTTTCACAATTAATAAGTCTCTGTGCTGGGCAGTGGTGGTGCATGCCTTTAATCTCAGCACTCAGGAGGCAGAGGCAGGTGGATCTCTGTGAGTTCGAGAATAGCCTGGTCTACAAGAGCTAGTGTTCCAGGACAGCCTCCAAAGCCACAGAGAAACCCTGTCTCGAAAAACCAAAAAAAAAAAAAAAGTCTCTGTGTTATTATTTGGGGGCTGGTGATTCCTAATGCAATGGTTAATGATGCCAACTTGAATGGATCTGGAATCATGCAGCAGACATTTCTCTCTGGTCATGCCCAAAAGGGTTTTTTTCCTAGACTGGATTAGCTCAGGAAGCCAAATGTAGAAAGCACCATTCCATGAGCTCGAGTTCCTCTCAGACTGAATAAAAAAGAAAGAGTGAGCCTGGAAGCGGTGGCATATGCTTTTAGTCCCAGCCCTTGGGAGGCAGAGGCAGGCAGATCTCTGTGAGGTCGAGGCCAGCCTGGGCTACAGAGTGAGTTCCAGGACATCCCGGGCTACCAAAAGAAACCCTTTTCAAAAAAAAAAAAAAAAAAAAAAAAAAAAGTCAACGGAGCACCAGCGTTCACCTTTCTCTGCTTTCTGAGGATAGATGCTATTGTTGACATGCCTTCCCCTCCACGATGGACTGTACCCGTCAGCTGTTCGCCAAAAGAAACTGTTCTTTCCTTATCATTTTTTGTTTGTTTGTTTTTTTGAGACAGGGCTTCCCTGGGCTTTTGGAGGCTGTCCTGGAACTAGCTCTTGTAGACCAGGATGGTCT